TTGTATAATTGTATTGCTACACACCCACCAGAATGGCCGAACTTACAAACCCAATTGAAAATCCGTGAAGATGTGGAGGAGAAACAAGCACTCATACCCCACTGATGGATGTGTAAATTGGCACAATTATATAGGAACCAGTTTGGCATTCTTAGAAAAACTTGAAAGCGTCTGGGCTAGGACGTGGCTTCATTGGTAGAGTGCTTGCTTAGCATGCAAAAAGCCCTCAGTTTGAGCCCTAGCAACACATAAACCAGGTATTTTTGCACACACACCTGTCATCTCAGCACTTGGGAGGTAGTGGCAGGAGGATCACAAGTTCTAGGTTGTCCTCAGCTATATAGAGAGTTGGAAGCTAGTCTGTGCTAAAGAGATCTTGCCCTACTCTCTCTCTCTCTCTCTCTCTCTCTCTCTCTCTTTCTCTCTCTCACACACACACACATACACACACACAAGTCTATACATATTTCAATGACCCAGCAATTTCACCCTAAGCACAACCTAAAGTAAATTATTCCAGGTACTCAGGGGGCATATGCAAGTGTGCTTTTTCAGAAGCTAAAAAAACAAAAACGCAAAACAACAAATCCCCCCCACCCAAAGCCAAAAACAGCCCCAATGTGATAACTCCTGTGCCCATTAACAGTAAAATGAATTAATTGTGGACTATTTATGGGGCAGAGAACTAATGTCAATGCAGTTGGGTGAACAGAATAGCTGTTTGCAATGCCATGACTGGATCTCAGATAATTCAGCAAAAGAAGTCAGTAACAAATCATTCACCCTACGTGATTCTATGTAGGTCATTTTTTTTTTCTTTCCTTTTTTTTTTTGGAGACAGAGTCTCATTATGTAGCCCTGACTGCTCTAGAACTCAGGTGTAGACTAGGCTGGCCTGGAACTCACAGAGATTAACCTGCCTCTGCCCTCCTGAGTGCTGGAATTAAAGGTTTGTGCCACTATGCCTGGACATGTAGGATGTAAGATAGGTAAAGAATGCATTTTGTGTAGTAGAGGTCTAAAACAGTACAAGAGGGGCTGGAGACACGGCTCAGAAGTTAAGAGCACATACTGCTCTTGCAGAGGACCTGAGGACTTGATTTCGATTCCCAGCGCCCACTTTGTGCAGCTCACAATTTTCTATAACTCCAGCTCCAGGGCGATTTAATGCCTTGGATCTCCATGGTCGCCTTCACTCACATGTACACCCCCCCACTCAGACACAAATACACATGATTGAAAAACAAGAACAGTACAAATGCTGCGTGGAAGAAGTCAAGGCACACAAGCAGGCTGGGGCAGCGCTAACCCTTGGTCAGCTCTGTGTGGGGCTGTGCTATAAGGATGGCAGCCTCTGCTCCTTCATCTGGGTGGCTGTCCACTTGTAGAAAGATGTATATTTGGTTTTACAGATTTTTCTATATATTTCACAATAAAAGTCTATATTTTCATCGGGCGTGGTGGCACATGCCTTTAATCCCAGCACTCAGGAGGCAGAGGCAGGTGGATCTCTGTGAGTTCAAGGACAGCCTGGTCTACATAGTGAGTTCCAGGACAGCTGGGGCCACAGGGAGACCGTGCTTCAAAAAATGACTACAAAAATTTGTTGACATGGAATAGTCCCATAGAAATGGGACATGTCAAGAATGCCCACAAATATTTCATGGCACCTTGACTGATTCAGTTCTTACATTGGTTCTGTATCCTCACTCTCAAGCCAAATAAAAGTCCATCTCTCAGAAATCCTCAGGGTCCCAGAGGTATACACCTTAATTTTATGCCAGAGCCTTGGAAAACCATGTGTCTATAGAAGTGTATGAAGTAGTGTAAGGAGGCATGTGACAGAAAACATCCAAAAATTAAAAGCTATGAGGAAAATGAGCTTGTTTGAACATTTTTTCAATGAATTATTCATAGGTAGGTATGAGGAGAAACAATCACTCTGATACTTGTATCCAATTCTATGCATTAGATTCAATAGTAAATTAGGAGTGACGTGGAGGGAGCAGAGAAATCTGGGTTGTGCATGTCCAACTACATATTGATCATGGTGGGATAGTCATAGGAATGTTAAAGATGAGATACTTGCTCCCCTGTTGTCATGTAACCGCCCCCTCACCCATTGACTTGAATCTCCAGTAAAGGTCAGTTATAGAAAATTGTTTTGCCTCAGTGGCTATTTGTAGACAGTAAGGCAAATGGAAGAAGGACATAAGCTTCCTACTGCATCTACACCTTGATTGAGACACCTGGATTCCCAACCGACAGGCCTCAAATGGAGCTCATTCTCTTCCTTTACTTCCAGATGTCCTATCTAAACAAAAGGAATCTCTTCCAGTTTGATATCCCAACCTGGAAACATTCACTTCTCACTGCCCTGGCATCAGGAGC